TTTTTTTCTTCCTCAAAGGACAAGGGTAAGGATGGAGAAAATAAATTTTCTTTTTCTGTTCCAAATAGTACTCTGGTTGTTTGGCTAGAAAATAAAAACATGTGTTTGTTGTTACTGATGTAGGTTTTCAAATTCTATTATGCCATTCCAGTGTATAAAAACCAAATCTCAACATTCTTAGTGACTAAATATTGGCAGAACTGTGTGTATGCAGATGCTGGAAGGAGATCTGGAACAGATTATAATCTAACTTTTAGAAATAAATAGAGCATGCACCATTAATATTTCACATAAAAGTGAATGTTTTATATGGGCATCTTGAACAACTGAAACATTTCTCTAGATACAGATGTCAAGGTGGGAGAATGTCCTGCTTTATCTGCTTATTAGGATATCTAGTTGGCCTGCTTGTGGTGAAACAGTTGTAAATTCTACCCTATTTTCTCCCAGCTGAGGAGTAGTAACAGTGAACCTTTTTTTTCTGAAATGCAGCAGAATTTCTTTCATCGTATGGGGATAAGAGCAACATCTGACTTGCTTGTGAGAGGAGAAGCAATAGTAAGGCTGAATTCATTGGATGCCATTTGTGTGCAGCTACTCACTTAGCAAACTGATCTCCAAACATTTTTTTCTCTCCCAGAGCTGTGGTCATTGAAGTGGTGCTCTTAAAGGAGTGAATTTTAAGCAATTTATTGTAAAAGAACGTTAAGGGCTTTTTTTTTCCTGAGAGCTTTTTCAAGCTGTTGACAGGCTTCATTGTGTACTTTAAGTAAATTTTAGGTTGAGCTTTCTTCTTTAAACCATTCCAGTGAAGCTCTACTTTCTAATTCCATACTAGACTCGTGCTCCTCTGTGCTGCCTTCAGGCTGTTAAAATTTGCTCATTGCTACTTCACCCAATGTAATACAGTTCTGTACAGAACTGTGATACAGTTCTTTATACTAGTGAATATGTGTTTTTAGACTGGTCGAAAAGTTTGACTGCTTCAACAAGTTGTCTTACCCTATATAAACACCTTCTAGATTAGTTCTAGCATCCACAATTGGATGTGGTAGAGCTTTGTGTACTGTTTGCAAATGCCTGAGTGGTATGTGATGCAATAGACGTATTTCAAGCTTCAGTGAAGTTGAAACACAGTTTGTTGTGAGTTTTACAGTATTTGAGCTTGACTTCTGTCCTTTGACTCCACATATTCTTTCCCTACAAACTAAATTAGTGAAGCGTCAGATGGGAGTGGTAAAAAGAAACACTGCTCTTTATAAAAAACCCTGCATTTATTGTTGGTTATAAAATGGTAACTATTAGGCTTGCTTGCTCCAATTTTACATTCTTGATGCTGTATTTATTATGGAGTCATCAACTTTGCGAAATTGCAGCTTATTTGTCTCTTGCAGTATGAATGCAATAGAAAGCTGTTCAAGTTGGTGCATACTTTTTGATGTGTGTCGTTTACTGAGCAGTTATTGAGAATTGAAGAATTTGTAAAGGATTAAGTCGAAATTTTTCAGAAACATATCAAATATTGGAAAATATTTTTCATTAATATTACAGTAACCTGAAGCTTTAAAGGAAGTGCATGCCCCCTTCTTAATATTGTAATTGTACAATATGATGTTCACTAAATTTAAACTAGACAGCTGCTCTATCTTTCAAAACACTTTCTGAGAAGAGTATAATGACATATACAGCCTACAGCTTCCTCACAAGGGGAAGAGGAGGTGCAGACTGATCTCTTCTCTCAAGTGACCAGCAATACGACACAAGGGAATGGCATGAAGCTTTTTGAGGGGGGTGGGTATTAGGAAAAAAATGTTCACCTGAATGTTGATTGAGGACTGGAACGGGCTCCCCAGGGCAGTGGTCACACCGCTAAGCCTGATAGAATTCAAGAAGTGTTTAGACAATGTTCTCTGGCACGTGGTGTGATTCTTTGGGGTGTCCTGTGCATGGCCATGATTTGGACTCAGTGGTCCCTTCCATCTTGCTGTATTCTATAATTATACTTACAGTCACTGAGCTGAGGCATAATGTTGAAGACTATGTATATAGTCTTATTTCATGGTAAATATTTTAAAGTACAAAGTAGATTAACACTAGAAAGAGATTTGAGTTGTTGAGAGTCAGGCTTGCTAGTTTGCCCTGTTAATTCTCCCTTTCTTTCCCAGTCTGTTATCTGGCCCAAATTAATTGCAGTTTGGGAGTGATAGACGACAAGGAAAGCCTGGTCTTTTTGACTCTTGAAGGGAATACTGAGGATTAAAGTAAAACCATGTATGTCCAGGAGTATTAAACCAGAAGGAACGACTATGTTTCTGTAAATGAATGAAGTATTTTTTTCCAAGTATTTAGGGTATTCACTTGGCCAACAGCAGTACCATGAAGAGATATCTAGGTTGCAACTCAGATAAACTCAGATCTGTTACCCTATATGTATGAATGCAGGGTCTGATCAAAGTGGCATCAGTTGTGGCTCATTTCGTGGATGAAGTCCTCTGTGAAAGGAGGTTTCTGGGAAAATTATTCTCTTGAGAATAAATCTGAGAATTTGAGTTAGAAGAAAATTATATCTCTAAGGGTCAAATCTGAACTGTAAGATTTAATCTTGCTTGTGCTAAGAAGAAAAGTAGACTTGCATAATGTGAATCTTTTCATCAGAAAAGTGACTGTAAACCTCTTATTCAGCAAATCACTCCTGCTATCTATTTATGTAGTAATATTTATTTTGTAACAGTGTTTATTACTTGTTCTCTTCTCTGATGTTTTTATTGTAGCACCTGTTCAGCTCAAATTGATTTAAATTCATCTGTGCTTCTGTGATAGAATTATTAGCTAAAAATCCGGATATTGTAGCTATCTATTCTGTGCTACGTCTTTGAGTATAATTTGTATAATCCAGTGCACTCTCAAATGGAAGTGAGGGCAGAATTTGTCTTGCAAAACCTATAGCATTTATAAGAAAGTACCAAGCTTGACCTGAAATTCTTAGCTGATATGAAACTGTAACTTAAGAATAAGATGAGGAAATTTTACCTGTGACTCGAACTAAATGGTATGTTTTGGCAAATGTGGAGTTAGACATTGGCATTCAATGGTAAAATGGCTTTATTTTGTGAATAAAAGGGAAATCAGAAATAGTACTTGATATTTCTTTTTCAGATAGAGGTATAGATGATGAGCTGCAGAAGTTTGAAAACTGACTAGTAGCTATGATACCTACTCAAAACAGTGGAGTCTATCAGAAGATGGGGCTAGCTTAAGAAAAAACTTTAATTTGGAGCTCTAAGAGTTAATGTGTACCTTTCTGAAAGAGCTGAAAAAAATTTTTTTTAAATTATTTTAGTACTTCTAATAGAATAAATTATTATTATTGAAAGCCCTTATGCTTTCTAAATTAATATCTAATTTTCTTTTTTAATGTGAGCATATCTATTTTTCAGATTTTATGTGAAAAGAATGAGAAAGCTTATTATTGTACAAATCTTGCAGGTGTTGTCTTTCAGCTTTGTAGATAATAAAAGCTAACAGCAGATTGGTATTTGCAGATGAAGCAATCTTCAATTAAATCCCAATTTGCCTGTACGTATAAAAATGATTTGAGTGAAATGAGAGGTCAGCATTCCCATGGAATTCCAACCTGCAAACATCCTGTTGTACCAAAGCAACATTTAAAAGCTGGAAAGTGCACAGGTAAGCTGTGGTAGGATTGAGTAAGTAAATGTGATGGGTAATACTTTAAATGCTATCCAAAAAGCGTTTGTACTAAAAGCTTTAGTAGAACACAAAATTTTTTTCAAGGAAAAGAACAAAAAAGTTCATTGTTCTCAATGTCTCATATGCCAGTTAAATCTTTTTGCAATAAAATTGTAATGCCAATGCTTTGAAAATATAAATGTTTGAAAAAAAAGAAGTGTTGGTGCAACCTTTAGGTAAAAAAGTGATATATGTTGCACATATGACATATTTGTTCTTATTCTACAAAAGTAAGGCAAATGAAATTTATATTTTTGCCATTAAAAGGGGGGAGAATTTGTTTCACTGCACTGTAAACTATATAATATATAAGATTTCTATGCCCTTTAACCCTCTCTTACAATATCTTAAAGTTTTAAATCTGCTTCCCTAAGTTAGTTATTGCGTGTTTTTGAGCAATGTAATTTTAAATTGGCAATCCACTTATGAACACATAGCAAATGTTAATAGCAATGACCAGCATAGCTTTGTTTTATGGGTAATACATTAGTTTTGATTAAAAAAAAAAACAAACATGGCAGCCCTTATAGAAAAAGGATGTATGTTCCCAGGTAACTTTTTATTTCCTCACATATGTTTTTGATATTCTTGCATGACAGAAGGTACAAATTCATGTCTTGATGTACCAGGGCTTGGAACTATTTCTGAAAGTGTTCACCAGACTAGAAGTTATGCAGAAATGGGAAAGCTGAGTTGTCTGCCAAGGAACAAGAACTCCGAGAATGAACAGATGGATTTGAATAACGACAAAATAATCTGTGACAAGGAAAGTGAACCATCTTTGCAAAAAAATACTAAAAGACTTAAGACTTCAAACAGCTCTGAGAAGGAATTGGACAGCAAAATTGGTGGAAAAAGAAAACAGACCAAAGCTGCACGTAAGAATAAGTTGATTGCTGGTCAGGCAAAATTAACTCGCTTTTTTCAAGTCTAAGTTTTTGTTTTCACGTACACAGTATGTTGACAGTTGTAAAATTTTGCAAGAGAATGAGTGGAGTTATTGAATGACTTGCTTTCATATGTAAATAGTTGAAAGTAGCTTGTATATCTTATTAGACAACTAGTTACAACTCTGGATTATGCTGAAGTATTTTATTTTTTAATAACAGTACATTGTTAATTACACTGTTATTTTTGGTAATGAATTATGTAACCCTCTACAATGCAATGGGAAATTATTTTTGGAAGCGTTTGGACAATTACACTAACACTCAGTAACCTAAAATTACATTAAATTCAGAATAAAATGTTTAATCTTCAAAGAAGGTGGTGGAGATTGAGTAGTTTTCACACTTGCCAACACGGTCGATAGACTCTTCCAAGCATACACCTGAGAACTACAGGAGGTAAAAAAAAAAGAGCCTGAAAATTTAAATCATCAAAGAACCAGCATTCTTATGGCTTCTGGAAATACTAATTTAACAAATACTCCCTCCCCCGTGCATCAAATCATAGCAGTCATGGAGTCTCTAAATTAACCTTTTACCAAATTGCTATATTGACATTGCAGTGTAATTTACCAGAATCAAATAATTTTTTGTGTAAAAATAAAATATATTTACTGTCAAAATCCCTTCTTCCTATAGGGAATTTAGCTGAATTTTCTTCATCTGTGGTCTCTCTTTCCTGTATTGACTCAGTATTTTGAATTTCAGTTTCAGCTGGAAAAGCCATGGCACCCTTCAGTGCAGGATAAGGTAGTTGCTTTCTACCTAAGTTGGTTGGCATAACATGATTGAAGAAATAATTTCTGGAACTTCTGTCCTGTTTTGAGGGAAGACAAGAGGTTTATCTTTAAATAAAGTCAGTTGTGTTCACATTTTGTATTTTATTCTTCAACAGTGCAGTTATTTTATGCTTCAAAATCATACCTTAAAAATAATGACCTGCATTACATCTTTGGCCAAAATGGTTTGATGGACATAATTAAATAATGAGTCTCCTGTTGGGCAAAATTAAAACCCTGTTGCCACATATAGGGACATGCATCAAATATAAATACAACTTTCTCCCCCCACCCCAATCCTCCAAGTTTTGGCTACTATCCGTGAAAATCAGATTTAATTCAACCCTCCAAGTTTACACATTTAGATTATTGGCATTAGATATATAACTTGAATTTTTTTCTTGACTATGTTATGTTAAACATATTTTTGTATGTTTATCTGGTTATTGCTTGAAATTGTTGTTCTTGTTTTCTAAAGGAGTATAAATTAATTTCAATTTTGCAATTAAATGAAAATTTAAAACTGAACTCACCAAAAACTTCATGTTTCCAGCATTCTTATCATTGAAAACACTGCTGTCTTCAGTCTTATAGTGCTTTAGCAAAGGTATAGCTCCCCTGTTCATAGTTTTATCTCCATTTGGTAGACTTTTTCCTAGATTTAATGTAGCTAGCAAGATATCTTCATCTTCTATCTCTTGCAGAGATTTTGAGAGTAGGAAACCTTGAGAAAAAAGAGATAGAAGGGAGAGAATTAGGATATATGATGATATGCACATTTTTTAGTTATTTAATGCTTGCATAGAGGTTCTGCACTTCTCGAATTCTAAGAAAGCTTTTCCATCGGTAAATAATTGTTTTCCATTTCTAGGATGGCACACTTTATATATTTTACACGTTGAATGGAAACTACTTCAATGGCTGATGAGATCATTCTTTTAAAATGACTCATATTAAGGGAGTGACCTTTTCTATAATCCTTCTAATCCCACCTGTTTAGAACTAAAACATTTATTTGTCATGCCTAATTTGTTTCTTTGTATGTTTTTAGAACAGATTAGTTCTTTCTGATGAATCAGTATAACAAAGATCACAGAAAAAGTGATGCCCATTTGTCTTGTTTATAAAGCCTTACCTCTGGTTAAGGCAGTTTAAGAAGAGAAACTAATCTGCATAAGTAAGCAGGATTGTTGTTAACGTGTGATGTATCATAGATTTTGATCAAAACAAGATTCACTAAAAAGCTGAAATTCTTGAAATTTGATGACAGCTTACACTGTTACCATGTTGAAGCTGAAATAATTAGTTTGTATTTTGATGTCTATTATGTCAGGTTGGATTATACTGAGTTAAGGGCTAGAAATATTTGTTAGTACTTAATTAACTATGTTTGTATTTTCTTACTGAAAATGGACCTTTCTCTGCTACAAATGTGACATTAGTCAAATATGCTTGCTAAGAATGTAGAAAGAAAAGTAAGCTTCAGTTTTTCATTTAAAATTACTTTGAAATGTATCAATTACCCTGTGGAAGGAAATATATAAGTTTCTGCATACTGTGTTGTTTTGTTGGGCTGGAGTTCTTTTGTTTGTGTTTTTTTGTTGTTGTTTGTTTGGGGGGTTTTTGTGGTGTGTTGTTGTTGTTGGCTGTTTTTTTGTTTGGTTTGGGGTTTTCTGCCATATCTTGAAAGCAAATAGGGCCAGCTGAAATTTAGCTGATCTGTTAATGTCAGTGATAGAAACCACACATTCAGTGGCTGTGTGCCTCTTAGCTAGTACATCATGTTTCATCCTTTAGCTTAGTTCGGGGAACCAAACATCCTGCTATTCAAGGCAAAGCACTAGGAAATTAGCCACTGTTCCCTGCTAAACTTCCTGGAAAAGCACCTGCCTTGCCAAAGTGACTTCTTAGTATATTTTACAGGAAGATATGTCATGCCGGACTAAGCAGATTTTGACTAAGAAACGTTTTGCTGTACCCTCTCTTCTCCAAATGAGGAAAGTGCATTTAATCCTTTCTGGGCAAAGCATCTCTCACAAACAGGAATGTTGCTTCTCGTTGTTTTCATTTCCTTGCTGTAGAGCCTGTACTTGCCTTTGGGCAATTGAAGTGTTTTCTTTCCTTTGACTTTAATTGCCTGGTTACAGAGGAGACAAATTTGAGAGATGGTTGTATATGGTTTAATACTTCTCAGCCAATCTGTTTGCTAATTTGTATTTTTCCCTCACATTAAGTATTTGTACAGTTTTGTTCAATTAATAAAGCAGAAGCCATGTATGCTCTGTTGCAGGTACTTTTTGTTTAGCTCAACCTTGGCAGAGCAGGAGTGCTTTGGAGCTGTGTTGGCAACAAGCTGTTCTTTTTTATATGTTGTTCTATCAATTAAGAGTTGGAGAACAAGCCATCAACCCAGTAATTGGGTAGGTGACAGGAGTGTCTGTTCCTCTGCTCTGGCACCCACAGGTGTGCAGCATCTCACACGAGGCTCAGTTTCAAATTTCTGTCATTGAATAAAAAGCACAGCTACAATGAGTACAACTGAACTGGATCATTCAGAAAGTCCATCTACAGTATCTGTCTTGTTGTGAGACACAAGCTGATGTCTGTGGAAGAATATGAAGGTACTTGTTCCAGGATCTTTTACTGCTTTTTGAAGTAGTTTTTAATTTTTAAGGTTTATTGAAGCTCCAAGGTGATTTTAGTGATATTGAGTAGAAACTTGTAATCAGGCTGCTTAGAAATCCAGAGTACATGTCTGTAAATTCAGTTACTTGTCAACTGTTCTGAATAGGCAGAAAACATTTATTGCAGATTTGCAATGTGTGTGTTGTGCACAGCTCTTCATGATGCCTTTGGGAATTCTAGCACTCTGATATCTACACTTTTATTTCTTCATCCTGCAACTTTCAATTTTAGTGAACATGTAAAATGTTTTAATAAATCAGCTTCTAAGTTTTTACTATTATTTGGGAACTTTTTAAAAAAAAATCTTAAATGGTATATATTAATCCAGTAGGGCTTTTAGAACAATAACAATTATTTTGAGAAATTCTTCTTGTTTCTACTTTGCATCTAGTTACAACAAAATATGACCTCTTAACATCTGAATGTATAAGTAAATTAAATTTAGGTGATAATATGCCTGGAATTTCTCTTATTCTCATTTTTTGAATTTTTCTAGGAATGGGTTACAAAACAAGTGTGATAGTTTTATTTGGTCTTGTAACTACTGTAACTGCCATGTACAACTGCTTGAATCTAATTCCTAGTATTGACTGAAGAATAAATAAAGCAGGTATGTATTGTGTAAAGTCAATTATTTTCTATTATCAGAATTGAAAAACTTCATAATGCAAGAGAAGTTGTTTAGGTAACATTAATAAATCGTTTTAGTGACTCTTAAAATAGCACAAAAATAATTGCTCAATGTTAAGTTGCCCAGTGGCTTTCTACTTCTGTTTTTAAAAGGTGATTGGGCTTGTTTGTTTCATTTTTAGTTTGGGTGTTGTACGTTTTATACAAACAGCTGTATTTCAGCCTGAGTTGTAGAAATACTAATCCCTTCTTGTGTGTTGGTCTAAGTACCTCAGTGTTTTAGTTCCAAACCCAACAAGCAGGTGTTAAAGTGGAGACTCTCTGTGCCAATAATGGAAAGAGCATATCAGCAGTTCACAGGGCAGACAAGAGGTAATTAGCACACTTCATTATTGACTGTAGGAAATTAAGACTCTTGCCTAACATGTTTTGTTGTTCCTCCTGCAATTGGTAGTCACCTGGAATCAGTAAATTGATTTAGTGTGAAATAGGTACAATGCTGCATGAAACAGGAGAACTCTGGAGTTCTGCAGGAGCACAGCTCTAATTACTTGGAGAACCTGAAAGCCATCTTCTGTAAATACGTCAGGAGAATGTACAAGAAAAGGATGGAGGTGAAACCCTACAAACTAGGTAACTTTTTCCAAATTTCTGCCCAAGATCCAGGGTATCCGTCTCACTCCTCTGTTGAATTACAGTCTGTGTATTTATAGAATTAAATATTATATTTGCTTGGTGTATTTATAGAATTAAATATTATATTTGCTTGTGTTAAAAATTAATTTCACAGTTGGGAAGACTTTAAAATATTTTCTGCTGTTTGTTTTGAAAGGCATTTCAGAATTTCATTTGGAGGAAGTGCATAAAGATGCAAATACTTCTTAAGGAATTGTGCAGCAGCAGAAGAGAACAATTTATGCATAATTTCTTCTAGCAAAGTTAGTGATAAGGGTATTGGTCACTGTGTCTGTCCTTTTTTAGAATTATTTATATTATATGAAATGATCTGTTATTGTAGGAATAATTTGCCGGTACACTATGTTTAGAATTAACTGAGTTGCTGTTTAAAAACAAATTAATCCCTCCTAAAATGTACCTCCACGCCCCCCCACCCCCAACAACTAAGTTTCTTCTTAGCAAAACAGTCTATGTGTAAGTCTATTAAGGATGTCAAATTAATCAGTGAAGTGGAAAGAGGAAAAGAGAGAAATTCCTCAAGCCATAGTAGCTTCTTAGTTTAGAAAAATACAGTGGTGATAGTGAAATAGTCTGTTTTCATGTAAAAATCTGCATTTCTGATAGAAATTCACAAAATTGTTATGGACAAGGCACAGTGCATTATTCTGTAACCAACCAAGAGCAGGAAAATTCCTTATGAGAGTCATAAAGAGGATGAGAAAGACTGGGCCCCTTTGCTTTGCAGGCAGATGAGAGGATTTCAGCCAAGGAAAAAATACAGCAAAAAGCAGGAGGTGCAACTGCAATTTTGAGCTTCATTTGAGCACAGGATGTCTGTGAGAGGCTTTGAAGCTGGCTATCCAGAGCAAGCCTGCTAAAATGCCTGTGATTTCTACTCTTCACCATTACCGTTCATATGGTTTTGATAGCACTAGGGTGAGTCATTTGTTTTTCATAACTAACATGAAGGCAGGAGAACTTTTTTAGGAATATTGATTCTTGACAGTTCTTTACCAATGGTACTGGAACCATTGGTGGGCTGAGCCCCCTAAAGGGCAGTGAGTGCTCTTGTTGGTACACAGGGATTGTGAGACTGACCACAGCTGGTGTTTGAGAGGAACAGCAGTTCTTCTCTTTGCTATTATGTGAAAGGAGTCAGGGTAAGGTAAAGGAATGTTATTATCAATATTGTCCATATTATCTGTCAATCCTATTGGTGATGTAGTTATGTCCCACACACGTCAGTACAGGTTCTCTTACTGAGCTGGATCCTCTGAGTCAATTTGTGTGGTAGATGCTGCTCTCGTGGAGATAGAAGAATGAATCCAACTCTACACATTTTATTTTTAGCAGAGTAAGTGTTCAGTAAATGCACTTGAGCAAAATCCAAATAATTTACTGTTTGTCACCTGGGTGTTTTTACCAATAATATCAATTTTTATTTAGGATTTATTTTGTTTGGTTGCTTTGTTTTTTTGTTTTAATTTTTACATTTCAGTCTCAAACACAATTGCATTTTCATCTGAATTGTTTTTACTAATGCTTTTTTCTTATAACAGTTGTTGGGAATCTTGGTAGTTATAGAACAATAATGTTGCAGTGTGAGTCCATGAAATATTTTTACACTGTTTTGGTGTTAGGTACGTTTTTGAGATATGCTAGTTTGTAAATTATTCTTTAAATAAACACAGAAGTCAGAGATGTTTACTCACAGAAATGCTCTAGTATAGTTTTCACATAGTAAGGTGAGCCACATACTTAAGGTGGGGGTCTGGGTTTCTCCTTGTGCATTCTGGAAAAGGAATCAGTTATCTTTTAATTCTGTTACTGTCAATTAAAATTTAAAACCTACAAAGGATCTGCCAGGTATTCTCTCTTGTTTGCCATACCAGTCTGTGATTTTGGCTGTTCTACTGTTTACTTAAGCAACAAGGAGTTGGAACCAGATAATCTTTGGTCCTTTCCAAACAAAACCATTCTGTGATGCTACTCCTGCCATTCATATGGTGTTAGCACAATGGTGTACAGAATGTTACAATGTGTGTTCTCTTAATTGTTACAATGCTTGTGGTTGTTTTCCAAGGACTAGGAGTGATGTTATGATTTAGTGACTCTCGAATCCTTGAACCTATTTTCTTTATTATCTATGCCAGCAATCTAACCAAATTGTACCTGCTTCTGTTATATCAATTCCAGTCAGGTCTTTTTCATTCC